AAATTCTGTAAGACATTTTGATGCGTTCAAATAAATTCTAACCTACAACTCTACACCAAGTGCGCAAGTCATTATGTTTGAAAGAAAAAAGTCACTCGTGACTTTGACTCCATGTGGAAAATTAACAAACACTGCAGTTTTTCTAACCATGAAAATCCTCATTTCCCATGTGCAGTTGGTTAGCTCCTCACCGCGTCCCCAAGGAGTCTATATGAGTCTGAAACACTGCAGAAAAATGAGAATTTCCACACTTTAATGCAGCCAAGGAAGCATTTTTAATGATTAAAAATAAGAACAGAAGTGAAAGAGGAAGGGATTCTGGGTCCTTGTTTTGTTCTGTTTTCTTCCTCCCATAAAGAAATGCGAGCCTGGGGTCTCCCAGGTGAGTAAAATGTGGGCCTGCTTTTAATTTTTACAGGACTTTTTTTTAAAAAAAGAAGGGAAAAAAACCCCAACTCTCTTAAATTTCCTCACTCTCAGTTGCACGCCGTGAATGCTAAAACGAAAGGAGGCGTCAGGGCCAAATTCACTGTACAGCTTTTGTGAGCTGTTAGAAGCAGTTCTCAGGAGCTGGACTTTTATTCAGGTTTGCTAAATAAGTGTGCATTTTTGACGAGTTCTTTCCATCCTTCAGTTGAATGTACACAGCCGATGCTTCCAGCATTTTACACACACACACACACACACACACACACGCACAAGCTTTACACACTTAAAGAAAATGAAAATCTTTAGCCCCTTAGTAGCAACATTTTAAAAAGCAGCTAGATATTTGGATCAGAGAGTAGAATACTTTCAAAGACGACTCCTGGGCATGTGTTAACTGTTTTCTGTGCCACCATTTCATTGTGTGAGAGCGAACAGCAAAATGGTGGTTCCAGCATTTTGTTGTATGAGGGCTTCTTTGCAGACAGCCTCCCATCTCGGCTCCCAGAACCAGTTCGCGTAGGAGAGAAAAGCCAGATTTCTCAGGCCCAGGGACGGATTCAATAAAGCCTACACACAGATCTTCCTCCACTCACTGCTTTGCAGATGCTCAAGGAAAATTTTAGATACATATGATACAGAGAGAGTAAATCCTGATTAAAATAAAGAATGCAACAGAAATGATATTTCAGTTAAACACCTAACTCCACGATGTTGGTAAATGCAGATGTTATGAATAGGCTGTCCAACGTCACAGTTCGTAATCTACCTTAAGGAAAGATCCAAGACAGTGTTAGCATAGAGAATGTGAATGTTTTACTTGTGAATAAATGATCTTTCCAGATCAAGGTTGAGGTCATTGGCAAATGAGCTTAGGTGAGCTCATTCCACAGTTATTTGCACATGCAAATCAGGCTTCTAAATTTTTCTTATCTTACTGCCTTTTGTTCATGAGAAGCTCTTTGATTAATTTCTTAAAATAAAAATATTAAAATAATTGAACAATGTAATAATTGAACTTTGCTACTAGTATTCATTTTGAACTAGCTCCTAAATAGAACCAAAGGTAAGATAGATTTTGACTTACCTTTCACTGGACCTCAAATCGAAGAGAGATAAATTTGACCGAGAGAAGAATCTGACATTGCCCCTTACTGCCTACGGCTGAATCACCACTCTCTTTTGTCTGAAGGAGAACATTTTCTTCTCTATGCGGTGTATATTTTTAAGACTGAAGAAAACAGAGGCTCACAGCATAGAGTATTTTTTTTGCCATTTGACTGAAGTTTCCAAACATTTGAGTTTATAAAAACGATGGTGCTACATAAAATAGACCTGCAGCAACACTGTTTATGGCACACACAACATTATTTTCTGTTTGGTGTGCAGAAATTGTAAATAGGAAAGTGCGTAAATCTATTAAATCTAATAGCAAGAGGACTCTTACGGCAAGGTTTGTTATACCAATGCCTGAGAAAGCTTTATTTTTTATCTGTGGGTGTTAAATTTTCATGCTTGCCACAATATGTTAACTCCGGAGCTATTTATCTGGTAGCATCTTGGAGAAAAAGGAAATGGACAGATGTCCATAAACAAATGGCTCCACCTGGTGGTAAAGAGAAGGTATGAACTGTTGATGAGGAGAATTAATGCTGTAAAGAGCAAACAAATGGAAGAGCAGCATCTACTCTGTGTATGTGTGTGTGTGTGTGTGTGTGTGTGTGTGTGTTTCTGTTAATAAATATATTTGAAGGAAGGATAATGACACAATTCCCCAAATTTGGATTTCAATGTTGATATAGCTTTCTAGCTATCATCATTTATTTCTTTCAAATTCGATCCTCCCAATACATTTACAAATTATTTGATTCTAAATGCATCCATGAGAACAGACATTAACATGTGACCCTGACAGATATGAAGCACAATAGAAGGCAAACTATCCGGATCATCTGATCGTCTTGCTTTTAAGTAAAATACCAACCAGCAGACAAATTTAAACAAAGAAAGCATTTGCTCCAACCCAAGGGTGTTCTGTGGGTAACTTTGTGGCTTACCTCATTAGGAAGGACTGGAGAGGATGTGGTGCAGAATTCAATCAGGGGAGGGAAGAAATAATTTCAAACATGTGACTAAGAAACAGAAAATTACTCATTTTAAAATGGCATTTGTGGCTGAAATGTTGAAGAATCTGAATCTACATATTGTGACTCTTCCACCTTTTCAAACTCTAAAATTAGACCAGGAATTACACATACCAAATGCTATGCAAAATGTAATAGAGGCACGCCGTTTATGGCTCTCGACGTAAGATGGAAATTAAATCTTCAGCCTCCAATAAAATTGTATTTCTGTAATAAAACTGCTGCACCTTGACACTAGACTACATTGAATCCCAAATTAAACACCCCATTTACTGTACTGTAACAAGCAAAAGAGTCTGCTACACTGAACAATATTACAGATAGAGAAAGGTATTATATTTTGCTTTACCATCTAGGTAGAGTCCACCCAAAACAGGCTCATTCCCCACCCCTTCTTTCTTAGAACACAATGTATTTTGATGAGGGAAAAATATAAGGTTTGTCTTTCATTGCTAAAATGTCTATTTCTTCCTTAAGTATACAAACCTGCATAGGTGGGTAGGTCTAAAAAAGTCCGTCAAGTAGGATATTTACTACAAAATGTCCTACTGCATTTCAAGGATAACTCGGTCCCATAAGCAGAAACAGCCGGTGTGCTAAGGGGTAGGTACATTTCTTTATGCATTGTATATAATGGAGGTGCTTTTCCCTAGAACGTCCATGCACCGTTTATTCCGTATCCACTTCTGCAGCGCACACGTGCTGCTACAGAATAAACGAAGGTTTTAAACTTAGGATCTGTTCTTACAGGTTGTGTATTTATCTCACGCAGTGTTGATTTAGAAGAATTAGACTGGATATTGTTTTAAGATGGTAGGTCGATCTTTTTTTCCCTCCAGGCTAACACGGCCGTCCGGCATTTGTGAAGGGGCTTTATGAGAAGTTAAAACCTACCGAGGGTGAGGAATAGAGAACGATGAATACTAATGTTGCTTCATCTTACCTGCTAAAGGGCAGGCGAGCAGGGCGGGATGCTGTGTGTGTCTCGGTGTCTCTACCATCCTCCGGCCGGCCCCCGCGGATCCCCCTCTAGTGGACGGAAGGGGAAATTGCCTCTCCTGGCGGCCTCCCTCCGTTGAATAAATACCTCCCCTCCCCCTCTCTCAGGAGATGGTGGATATTATTAACCTTCAAGCACGGTACAGCGAGATGAATGTTAATCGTGAAGGGATTTCTAATCAAGTTTAATGGTGTAGGACAGAAAGAAGTTGCGTTAGCAGTTTTAATCCTGCTAGAAATGCTAATTTTTACGTTTCGTATGATCGGTGAGGTTAATACGAAAACGGCAACAGCTATGTTTCCATTCGGAAGTTGTTGCCTGTAATTTTGAGGCAAGTATGGAGGAAAGGGACAGAGTCCTTAGTGCGAATGACTTGTCAAGAGGCTAATTTCTTGGGAGACATTAGAGATTTGAGGCTTGATATTAACTCAGTTCCAGAAAGGAGAATTCTCTGCTGGGAGAAAATCTCGAGTATGAGAAACCATGGGGAGAAGTTTTGGACCTGCGAACATCACGTGTCTACACAAAAGGATGCAGAGGTTACGGCGTTGAGTACTGACGTTTGGAGCACTTCCATCTTTTATGTTTCCCTCTATGGTTCATTGCCATTTTTGCCGACACGTAAAGGTAACTTTTTTTAAAGCAGGTATTTCACCCTGACTTAGGAAACAGAAAGAGCACTTAGGAGTACTAGATGTGCAGGGAGTCCCCATTTCTGTCGTCCTCACCTCTGTCTCTCTCATTGACTCGAGAGACATCACCTGTGCTCTCCTGTAAGGATGCCCTACTGTGCCCAGCGCCGATGCTCCCACTCCGGCAAAGCTGGCATCTCCTGTACCTCCGTGGTCTGTCCTGGTCCCTGGCTATTAGAGCTGCAGTTCTTGCAGTGCAGATATGCACATGGAAGTGAGGGCTTTAGATGTCATATAAGCACTATCTTCAGTGCATACTTTTACTTGACTTTGATTACCCTAAATTGTATGGCTCAAGCCTAAACTACTCTAGTACTGTTATAATGTCACCCACCAATAAACTGGAAAGCCTTTTGCTGCAGTGCAGTTTACCAGTTCAGTGTGGGCCTTGAACAGTTTCCTCATTTTCATAGTTTACATGTTTAGTCTAAGTTTAGAGAACATCTAAGTGATAAATACAAATGATCAAAAGATAATTCATGAAGGCTATGCACCTATGTGGACATGGTCCATTTTAACTGCGTTGTGCCAGCCTCCAATATGTGGCTATTGTCATCATTTATCATTTTAACAGACTCCTTAAAAAAGGATTCAATGTAGAGGAGATAAAAATGATTGCCTGGTGTGAACATAAGATGCAAAATCAGTGACCAACATTATTTTCCCATCAATAATGATAACTGTACTAATTAGTCCAGGCATCACACCTGTGCAAAAACCCTTATCCCTATTTTACAGATGAAGTAACTGAGACACCAAAGGTTAATTGCTCACCCAAAGCCATGCAGCAACTCTGTCAGTATCACGATTTAAATCTTCCACTCTTGCTTCCTTGGCAATAGAGCAATTACAACTGTCTTCAAAGGAGGGAAACTTATTGCTTTTATCACAGGACGTAGGCATTAATGAACAACGGCATAAAGAGGTTGCATATTATTTGTTTTAAAATTGTAGAATCTTTCTTGTATTAGTGGAGTTTTTACTGTGTTTTCTAGGTTGGAGTTACTTTAGTGTCTAAAATTCCACATTGTATACTTTTAGCAAAATCAATAGTCACCCATTCAAATGAGGAGATGGTAATTAGAGATGGGACAGACCCCCAACATATCCTTCGTTTGAAGATAGAGTAAATTCAGTGAGATCATCTACTTCTTTTCATTTTCTTTCTCAGAAGAATATGTGTTTTTTCCCTACCCAAATGTTTCAGTGAACATTGCAGCTGTGCAGCAAGAGGCAGTTTGGCATGCATATAGTCTGAGAACAATGTGGAGTATTTATCCCTTGGGATAAAAAAAAAAACCCAGCAACAACAAACTTGAAAACAGATGGTTCTGATACAGTCTGATAAGAATGTAAACAGGAAAATATCTTTGTTGACTTATTTCTTAGTAATCGGTAATAATTGTTATTGTCTGGAGATGAATTACAGTCTTGATTTCGCAAGCGTGGCCACCAACAGCCTCTGAAAAGTGAAACTAAATTTCTGATATTGATGAGGAATTATTGACTCCTGCTGAAGCCTCCTAATTAGCATTCTCCTTGATTGATATGTAAGAATGAAAACTTTAGAGAGGACCATTTCTGCATTCCTAATTGTTTCTTTTGTCATCATGTGATTTAGAGATATTAAAGCCCTTACGGTCTATCCATGAACAGGTATATTTGAAAAATAACTTAAAATTTCTCTACAGCTTAGAGCACTAACATTCTCCTTCCTTCCTCCCTCCCTCCCTCCCTCCCTCCCTCCCTCCCTTCCTTCCTTCCTTCCTTCCTTCCTTCCTTCCTTTCCTCCCTTCTTCCCTCCTTCATTCTCTCCCTCCCTCCATTCCTTCCTGTCTTTTCTTTTTATGATCTTATTATTTTAGATGATAAAACCTTCTCCCTTTAGAGTCTGGTATTTCTTTGAACTCATTATATTTCTTTGTCAAAGACTTTACTTAGACTGATTGTTTAGATTCAATAAACATTTAATAAATGCTTCCTATTTGCCAGGCACTGGGGATACAAAGGTGAATCAGACAGACTTTCTTCTTTTATAGGACTCATAGTTTAGATGGAGAGGCAGGTACATAAACAAATAACTCTCCCTCAATTTGTGACCAAGTGGGCAAAGTGGCATGGAGAGGAGTGGGGAAAAGGATTCACTCCTTGGGAGAATGGGGAGCTTTACAAGGAAGATATTAGATCAGGCCTTAAATATTGCTGTGTTGAATCCTGGCTGCAGAGATCCACAGGCTATGAAATCCTGAATGAATACTGAACATTCAAATTGCCGACCAGTTCTTTGGATCAGGTCATTGTAAACCATTAGTTGTTTGGGCAATGTGTAAGACCATGGGATCCTGCCACTATCCAGAAGTTTTGAGAGATATTCTTCTTTTAAAATACAATACTTGAAATGGAAAACTTAAGTTGTATCCCTCCATGATGTTATACCAATAGAAAGAATAATCCCTTCTTTAATATGCAGTTCAGCCATCTGAAAATATTTTGTTAGCAAAGTAAATGAATACAGGTAGTCTATGCAGTTTATCCCAGAAACCCTTGGCACTTTTTTTTTTTTAACAATATTCAACAAATATTTAGTAAGTATTTCTATGTGCCATATACTGTGCTAGGCATGTAGATTAAGAGAACAAATAATATATGTAACCTCTCCTTGTGAAATCTGATGGGAAAGGACAATGTCAAACAGATAACTACCCAAATTATTTATTAATTAAAATGTGACAACCGGTATATCATATGTGATAAATGCTGTTGTTAAGTCTACCCAGCTTGTTCTGGTGACAGCAACTTGATTTTATTTTTTGAGAACTACCCTTCACCATTGCATGCAACCTTGATGGGGCTGTCAATCAAGTGTCCTACTCCTAGCTTGTGATCCGAGGTAGGCCGATCAGGGGCTCTTTCCCAGGAATGAGCAGGATCTGTCTCTAGTTTCATAGTCTAATACCTTGAAAATCTGTAGTTGATTCATCTCTAGCTTTTTCTTTGGTTTGGAGAGTGACCCTATATCCTTCCAACAAATTTGTTAAGTTAATCAGCTTCCACTGCTTGTAACCAGTAATAGTATTTATAGAACTGCCTCAAAATCCAGTATGCTAATAAGAAGTAAACTAAGTTGTGGCATGATTTTGAGGGTTTGATGGAGTTTAAGGTTAGAGAATCCATTTAACTGTGATGCTTAGGACACTCTATTTTGAATAGCATGATTTTGGTGACATAGGGTTAATTTGTTTTCTGGTGTCTGCAACAAATGCTATTTCTATGATAATAATATCAGAATTCATAATAATATTTATAAAACAGTATAAATATTATAAACTTTGACAGTCTAAAAGCTATACTCTGACAGAAGTCGGGAGGTGGAGGGCTGTGTTAACTTTCTTATCGGAGAGTGCTAAGGTCAATAAATATTTTCTAAAGCTGCTAGATCTGGAAGTGGAGAGATAATTGTAAGTTATACATACGGATAAGTTATACATCTACCCAACTGAAGAACTAAAAAATCATGAATTAACCTAAACTGGGGAGAAGATAGAGAAGGAATGAGTGAAATTTTTCATCATTCATGTAGAGAACTCAATAGCTACTGAGTGTCTAAGGTTGAAAAATCAAAACAGGTAGATGTAGACATATTATTTATTTAGAGCTCAAGTAGAAACTGCTGGAAGAACTAAAATCTAAATTTATTAACAGTGACTGCCTTTGGGGAGTAGTTGGTGGTGGGAGAAAGGGCTAGATAGAGAGCGTATTTTGACATGAACTTGGCTGGAGGAGATCCAGCATTCCAGAAATACATGAGTCATTAACCTAGTGATGGCATTAAGAAAGAAATACTATCCTGAGCTGTATCAAGACAAGCATCATTTGTAGCCAGGAAGTAATCCTTGTGTAAATTCATTGTAGGTCAGGCTCTCGTTTGAACATTACACTTTAGGTCTGTAACTTAAAACGTATGTATGAAAATGGCATAGAATTCACGTACAGAAAGAAGACAACGATGACAGGGATTGGAGGCTATGTACACAAGAAAGGAGGCGGGTTATTTATCCTGGAGAAGAGAAGGCTGAAGGCAGACAAAATTAACAACCTCTGGGCAGTGAGGTGGAGCTGTGGAGAACACTAACCAGCCTTCTCCCTCTCACTGGATGGAGTAGAAGAACAGGAGTTTGAGTTGACAGCATCAGGAGAGAGTCTGTTTTTAGACACAAGAAAGACTTTGTGATCGGTGAGTATGACTGAACTGCAGAACGGGCTGTCCCAAAAACTTTTGGAGTACTTTAAAAAGAAGATGGAACCATTCATTTTCAAAATAAGGGCTAGTACCAGATTTTGGTTTCCTTTGGTGATGTGGCAAGCACATTTTACAGTCTGATGTCTGTGAATTTACACACAGAGAAAGGTTAATGATAAAGCTGTCTAAAGAGTCCTACGTTGGCTGTGATTCCCAGGTAATATCTCACTAGGGGAAAAAAATCAATATTCACAATATTTCTCTGAAGTACTATGCTAACTCCTGGTTCCCTTAAAATATATATGCACACACATATACATATTACTTTATATATCATGTTTTAAAAGAAATGTGTATATTCTTAGGAGTGGTAGTTATCAAATTCAATGTTTGAGCTATTATTAAAATATTCATAGTTTATTTTTCTAACAAAAGGAATAGATTTTTAATGCTAACAAACTTTGAAAGCACAGAAAGCACAGAAAAATACAACATTTTTTCCATTAAAAACTGAGCAAGCAAACAAAAAACATACACAAAACAGCCCTGCCATCTCCTGACTGCTGCCTAGGTGGTCCAGCTGGGTTTCTCTGGTCAGAAATCTGCTCGCTCAGGCTTGTCTTTCAAGAATGAGTTAGGAGTGCACGATGAGCTGCATCTTCATCCTTCCTCCTCACTGCAATTGGATCTCATTTCCCATCCTCTGCTACGTCTGTTGACACAACAGGTAGAAATGTGGGAATGGAGCATTGATTTACCTGGCACCTAAATCAGGGCTGCTCCCTTTCCAAAGCTGGTTGTCTAATCTGTGTGTAGGTAGCTGTGGCCCTGGCAAGACCTTCAAACAACCAGCTGAGTGTTGGTTCAGCCATTTGTATTTAACACCTGAATGGGAGTCTTCAACTTTGGACTTTGGGTCCGAAGAGGAAGCCTGTCTATCTGGGGCTCATGCTTGCTTGAGATTTGGTGTAGAGGGCCAGGAAGCAGGAGTGGAGGAAAGGATTACTGCTTTTTTAAGCGGTGGCTGCCCCAACAGGGTTCCAGAGCTAAAAGAAGTTTGAAAATTGCAGACAGTGCTGGTCGCAGGGACAGAGGTGTGACTTTATTGCCCGATCTTTCTAGTCATGCATACCACTTAAGTTATGTATTTGGTCTCCTTTCAGGGCAGTCCTCACCCTGCCCATCACCTCTCTCCAATCTTCGTGAACTCTCGAGTCAGAAAGATACTCTGGTTTCTCTTGATTTCCCCTGGAAAAAACATACTCCTTTCTCTCTACCTCTCCTATCTATAAAATGGCTGTATGGAATATGGAAGAGCTGGGGTCCTCCTTCATTCAGCTGCAACTCCAACATGCTTAAATCTTTAACCCTTTTCTGCACACTTAACTCTATGCTTGTTGCAATGTTTGGACCCACATCTGCCCTGAGCACACACACGGACACCATGTGATCACTCTCATAATGAACTCAAGGCATTTCAGAGCTAGAAGGAAGTGCTAAGGAATTTCTAAGCTTTTAATTTGCAGATGAAAAATCAAGACCTAGAGAGACTGGATATCTTGCCCAAGACCACACAGCTGCTTAATGGTAGATCTAAGACTAGAACCCAGGTTGTTTATTTCCTAGGATTTTGCTGCTCCCTCCAGAAAGTACCATCAGAGAAGACAAGGGCAACTCTCTGCTCTCATCAGCCCTCCCGGTTCCATCCTGCTCTGGAGTTGGCAGGGGCACGGAAGCCTTCTCTGGGGGGCCACTGGTCCCTAAAAATTAGTATTTAAGAAAAGTCATTATTATTAAATATTCTCTGTAACTTAGTATGGTTATTTTCCTGAACAGATCTATAGCATTCATATTTATATAATAACCAGAGGTTTATATAAAAAGATCTATGCAGACAAAAGGTTACTTTTTTAAAAAAAAAATGACACCAACGAATTCTTTGTCTTTCTCATTTTAGTCTCTTAAAATCTCAGAGAGCTAATGATTCTTGCCCTTTTGTTCATCAGTTTCCTTATCCCTAAAATAAAGCAATATGAAATAGTCTCTAAGATCTTTTCAGAACCTCAAAAACTTGGATCTCTGGACTTGGATTTTCTGAAGAGTTAGGATTTGGGGACTTTACCTTCGTTTTGAATACTTCATAATGAAGCCTTTCTAAAATGTACGAGCCCTTGCCTGCTGTTGTACAGAGTGTAGGCTTTGAATCTCCCCTTGGTGAGCCAGGATCAGGTGTGTGAGAGCACCCGTGCGGCTGAGTTACACCAACAGCAATGTCCTCAGAACGTAAAACAACCTTCAGACCACTGGCTTTTTGAGTTCTTTTGTCAGAAGTGATATCATTTCTGAAAAACTGAAAAACAACAGGAAGAGAAGTGAAAAAGCTCAAAGGCTACTAATGAATGGGGAAATTGGCCAATGGCAGAAAGCCGAGTGCATTTTGATCTCCAAGATGTGTTCATTATCTTTTTCCATCTCTCATATTGACACTTAGCTCCTGAGAAACTTCTTCACAGGCTGTTCGAGGTCTAACATTTGACTGGTTCAGCCATAAGGAATGCGAAGGGGCAGACCTATGTGAGGCTTTGGGATGGCACCAATCAAGGTAATTGGGAGGTGCTGTCAGGGTCAAGAAGAAGCATCTAAAGGTGAACCATTTGTTGTCCAGTTATACTGCCATCCCAGGTTTTTTGTGTTTTTTTGTTTTTTGTTTTTGTGGTACGCGGGCCTCTCACCGCTGTGGCCTCTCCCGTCGCGGAGCACAGGCTCCGGACACACAGGCTCAGCGGCCATGGCTCACGGGCCCAGCCGCTCTGCGGCATGTGGGATCCTCCCAGACCGGGGCACGAACCCGCGTCCCCTGCATCGGCAGGCGGACTCTCAACCACTGCAACACCAGGGAAGCCCCATCCCGGGTTTTTGACACCACAGTTCATTCATGTAGAAGTGTATACATGGTATAATTAGTAAGACTCTGAGCTCATAAGTATCCTCTGACATGAACAGTAGGTTCTAATCTCTTTCACTATAGGAGCTACATGACTTTGTTCCACCATTCCTGATGTCACTTGTGTGAGGAAATGGCTTTCCTGCCCCCTGTTTAACTGGCCAGAGGGGAAGGAGGAAGGAAGGTGAACACTGAGGACCAGGACAGCAGAATATTACCCTCTAGTCATGTCGCGAATCTGTCCTCAACACAGCCAACCCATGCGTTCTAGTTATTGTCACAACTGACATCAGCTCCAGTTACAGAAGCTTGAGAATATTTTAAAATATTCTTTGTTCTCAAGATTACATAGATAGCAGGGATATATATATATATCCCTTCTTGATTTTGGAGTCAGAATTTAGAGCCCTTCACTATGAGGAGGCTAACCTTAAGTTGAACAGTTTGAATTTTATTATTAAGTTTTATTCAGGCTGCAGATATTTTCATTAACAAGAGCCTAAAGGTGACTTCCTAAGCCAAAGCTGGACACACTGCTCCTCGCTCTGCCCCAGCCGTCTCATTGCGATGGTCGCTTGTGGTCTAGTTTACTTAATAGCTGGAAAACCAATAAAGTTGGTGCTGAATGCTAAGGCTCATCCAAAAAATTTGAAAAGAATAATGAGATAAAAAGCCTATAGAGAAGGGCAGGAGCGTTCCAGCTAAGCTGTTATATTTTGGAAAAATCCTTTAACCTCTCTGGGGCTTGTTTTCTGTGTCTGTAAAAGAAGGAGCTTGAACTCTGTGATTCTAAGCATCTGGGCATTAGGTGTATTGACTACCACACCTGGGGCACAAATGCATTTTTGGAGCGGTTCTGAGTTTTTCAGAAATTGTTTGAATAAGAGATTGACAGAGAAGGTGACTTCTGCTTGTCAACTCCCAAAAGGTGTATTGACCTTTGTCACTGCCGGGTACCTGATTAGTGGATCAGAGAGCGCGAGCGCCATCCTGGCTCTGCCGTGGAATCAGTCCCGCTCTGGGGCCTGGTCCCCGTTATACCACAGAAATGGTAAGGGAGTAGGGCAGCACGTTTGCCGAAGGGAACCTGTGACAGTTATAGCTCATTGTAAATGTTTAAACAAGAGTAGATCGTATTAATGTGGAGAGAGAATTAAAAGGGATAGAATATACTAGAGAACAGCGAAGGGTGGAGGAGGGTCAAGGGATTGGGCCAAAAGGGTATCACCCTGCGGCCCTTAGAGACATTTTGTAGAGCTTGGGGATGCAGGTTGGAGATTATTCATGTGTCTGCTACTAGCATGTACACATTTGGTGCAAATGTCAGTAGTAGATTTACTTTATGATCAAGGTGGCAATTTGCAATTCATCTCTTATAAAGAACATGAATCATTTATTAAAGACTGGTATGCATTGTGAGTGGCATTTATTACAAATAAATAAATAGCATAGAGGTCTTAGAATAAATGAGCAATTATCAATTTAAAAATTGAGCTAGCCTGAAATTGCTGAAAAGATGCAAGCATTGTAGTCTCTTCTATGTGGAAATATCTCTGTATTTACAGATTGATATACTTCCATATACTTCTAGTTATACTAATATTAATGTCTAAAAACTTGAACATTTCAAAAGTTGAACAATTTTACAGAGACCTCTGTCAAGATATGAAGTATTACTGGTTAACAGGGGAATATATACTTCTTTTATGTCATTTGAAATGTATTACAACAATTATTAAATAAGTATCCAGATTTATATCTTTCTTTAAACCTCAAGGTAAAAATCCTCAAGAAGCATAAACACAATGCCCTCAATCCCAAAAAGTATTGCTTAGCAGTCTAAGAAAAATATAATTAAAGAGGCCGATTTTAGGCATCTATGCGATTATTTTAAGATATGTTTAGAATTTGCATTTAGTGGAAGGATTGGGTTATTAACCATACAACTTATCACCCTTAGTAATCATATTAACAGAAAGAAAATGTCCAGAAACTATGAATTTGACTAGTAATCCACATTTTATACTGATTATGGGAGGCACATTATAGATTATAAATACATAAGATAAAAATGCCAGATTACTGAGTGCAAAAAATAAACTTTCACATGTTTTACAAGCATTGCCTGGTCTGAACTATTTATAATACTTTAGAGTGTACTAGCACTTTTTTTGTAATATAAAAAGTAATAGAATCTTAGTAATATGAGGTGTCACTAGAGATATTTGCTATTAAATTGTTGCTGAGTGTGCTGAGGTTTGGGGTAGAACTATTGAGTTTGAAGATTAGCAAAACAGGTTCTGGCAATGTTTTAAAATTGAGTCAGTGATGCTTTAAAATGAGGCATAGGGCTTCCCTGCTGGCACAGTGGTTGAGAGTCCGCCTGCCAATGCAGGGGACGCGGGTTCGTGCCCTGGTCCGGGAGGATCCCACGTGCCGCGGAGCGGCTGCGCCTGTGAGCCATGGCCGCTGAGCCTGCGCGTCCGGAGCTCCGCGACGGGAGAGGCCACAGCGGTGAGAGGCCCGCGTACCGCAAAAAAAAAAAAAAAAAAAAAAATGAGGCATAGGTTAAGGATTCACAATAAGAATTTAAAAGTAGATGAAAAGGGCTTCCCTGGTGGCGCAGTGGTTAAGGATCCTTCTGCCAATGCAGGGGACACGGGCTCGAGCCCTGGTCCGGGAAGATCCCACATGCCGCAGAGCAGCTAAGCCCGTGCGCCACAACTACTGAGCCTGCGCTCCTGAGCCCGCGAGCCCCAACTACCAAAGCCCGCGGGCCTAGAGTCCGTGCTCCGCTACAAGAGAAGCCACCGCAATGAGAAGCCCACGCACCACAACTAAGGGTAGCCCCCGCCAGCTGCAACTAGAGAAAGCCAGCGTGCAGCAACAAAGATCCAGCTCAGCCATAAATAAATAAATTTATAAAAAAAAAGAAAGAAAAGAAAAATAGATGAAAAGATTGGTTTCTTATCCTCAAGCAGTCTATGTTAATTAGTGCTTTTATGTAAACTAATTTTATGGCTGTCTACAGGTTTCAGCACACACAAGCAGGGGTGTGAGAGTGAGGTAAAGTTCACGAGAGACTAATTGAAAATGAGGTGTGACATTAATTTTAAATAAGCATTTTCCTATTTTGCTTCTGCTTTCCTTTTATTTTTAAAATTTTCCCCCTTTCAACCATTATCAGTGCAAACCCAGAATGGCCCGATTATGTGAAATTAGCCTCTTGTCTGTTTCTGATTCTAAATTTGGTATATTTTAGATTCCACCCTGAATTTTGCCAGTGGGAGTCCTCTTCTCTCCAGGGCACCGTGAGGTTTGGGGGACACCAAAAAAAAAAAATACACTACACTCATCTCTTCGCCACTTGCCATGGGGAAGCTTGCATTTGTGTCCTTATTTCTTTTTGCTTTGAGCAGAGTTGCCCAACATAATAAAGCTGCTTGTTGAAGGCAGAACAGTTAAGTTGACTGTCTTCTCCCTGTCCACCAGTTTAAAAATGAAAAGGTCAGTGGTATGACAAGAGAGGAATTCTTTACAGTTGCCAAATAATGGTTTTAATTATTTAGAATTGCCTATGTGCCATGGAGATAGTTACGGGAAGTGTCCTAGTGGAAATCCTAGCAGTTTGGCAGCAAGTGTTTTCAACAGTCATGTTCAATTTATTTTGAAACAATTGCTTAAACCAGAATTAGCTAGTTATTTAGTCACATATAAGGTAGTTAGCTTGTATGATATGATTAACCAAAGTAATTTGTAATTAACTATCATGAAATATCTGACCTGGAAAAACAAGTCTTTCATAAATTTTACTAATTTTCATGCTACTAGTAGTTATACCTATTAGAAGCCTATATTATACCCATCAGAGAGCCTTTATTTACTATTTAATGAATTTATTTATTTATGGCTGCTTTGGGTCTTCGTTGCTGCACGCGGGCTTTCCTAGTTGCAGCGAGCAGGGGCTACTCTGTTGTGGTGCACGGGCTTCTCATTGCAGTGGCTTCTCTTGCTGCGGAGCACGGGCTCTAGGTGCATGGGCTTCAGTAGTTGTGGCACACGGGCTCAGTAGTTGTGGTTCACGGGCTCTGGAGCGCAGGCTCAGTAGTTGTGGCACACGGGCTTAGTTGCTCCACGGCATGTGGGATCTTCCCAGACCAGGGCTCGAACCCGTGTCCCCTGCATTGGCAGGTGGATTCTTAACCACTGCGCCACCAGGGAAGTCCCCTTTATTTACTAACATTAATTGTTGTTAATTAATTCTAATCGTAGAATTCCAAGGATGCTGAGACGTTATTTTATCTAGCCTCTTACATTTAGAGATTAGGCTAAAGCTCTGCCTCTTCCTTGAAAATGGTTCTTTCTGCCCCAAACCTTGGCAAAGCCTTCCTTCCTTTGAATTCTCTATAGTATCCGTGCTGGACTTTGTCACTTAGCATGCGTTGCCCTGTGTTGCAATTTATACATGTGTCCTATCTCCTGAACTGGAGTCAGACCCTTCAAGGCAAAGGCTGGATTTAGACATTCTGGTCCACTTCCCCCAATTCTGGGGCTGTGGTCTACCATAGTTCATCCTTACGCACTGAGGGTGATGATGTAAATTTATCTTGAAAACCATGCTAGTCCTTAACAATCCTCTCCTGATACTCAATCAATGACTTGAATTAGAAAATATTAGAGATGGTTGGGACCTTGGAGACGGTCTGGTCTAATCTTTGTTTTACATATCATGAAACTGCGTAAGGCCCAAAGAGGCAAAATCACTTGCCTAAGACTTATTGCTAGATAATGACAGACTTTGGATCAGAATTCTAATTTCATTGCCTCCAAATCCAAAACTCTCTTTTTATCATGCCATCTGATGTCAACATCCGGGTAACACGCCCCTCCCTAGGTTTGTTCATCGGAATGAATGAACGAACGGATCCTTATAAATGTCTGAGGTGCCAGCCCTTTGTTCGTTTCTTATGTGTTCATCGCCTGGCAGCAGCTTCTAATGCTACAGATGTGTTCTGATGTCAGCCAGTGACTCTGGAACAGAATTTACAGTATCCGGGTATTCTACATTCTCTTGAACATGTGATATTTTTCCCCCTCTAAATTCTATGTTTTTTTTAGGTTGCTTATAGAAGATCAAAGTGGAAGGTTTGGGAAATAAGTCTTTATCATTCACTACTGTTCCAAATTGGGAAAACTAAGTCAGTGAATTGTTCATCTGGTTTGGAAGGACCATTCAAGCATTCTCAGACACGTAGCTAAGCAAGTCTGGAGCTCTCTGACATTACATAATTTCTCTGCTAACCAGAGTTCTCATTGAGTTTGCTGTATAACAATATGTTACATTGGATTAGCTCAATATTGGCTCAAAGCTCGGTGTCATCATTTGTCCACCCTCACGGCATTTCCCCAGATAGGGAAGCTGACTGGTTTTTCCATCACTGCTGGGAGAGTTTTCAGTTAACAAGTACCATAGAGTTTTCATTTGTGGCAGATGTTACCTTGTTTCCAATTTTTGTTCAAGTTGGTTTACGGAAAAGCACCACCTATTTTCTCTGACCAACTGAAAAAAACAAAAAAAAGATGAAAAGATCTTCTCCACACGCATAATAGCAAAAAGCACATGACAATCTAAGCTTTTGAACTCTCAGACAGCTCTGGTGCCCAGAATTGGTGTAATTTTTTCTTTAATGACTTCAGAGCCCCATGTGTGTGCGATCAGGGTAGACTGTGTCGCTCTGATTTTAAACAGCCCTGCTGTCACATGAGGAGTTTTTCATTTCTTGACTGAATAGACTCTCTGGTTTGAAATTAGCATCCCATCATGAAAAACAGGCCAGTGTACGGGGAAGTTGGCTGAGGCCATTGCTGTCATTTGAAACAAGTACTGCTTCCGCTTCTCCTAACCCCAGTGCATCAGGATGCTATGTGGATGTGGGGACCCAGTGATTCTGAAGTCTTTCCAAGAAAGGAGACTCCAACAAAGCATTTAGGAGTGAAAAATTTGTTTAAAATGTAGCCCAGGTCAGTGTGGGAATGAATTAGAAACACACTGTGAAAACTTCACCTATGGTCAGTGTCATACCGAGGAAGTGGTAGACATCGCGAGCAGAGGATGGGCTGGTGTCAACACCTTTGTTGCATGAAAGTGAAAGTCACTGCGATGTGTGGTTGTAGGTTCAATGTACTTTCACAGCCAAGTTCTAAGTGGCCCACTCGTTACCTTACCTTGGCATTTCATGAACTAGCAAGGTTTCCAAAAATAATTTGAGGACTAACAGAGAATTGCCAACTCCCTCCCACCCCCAGTCCAGTAAAGACATTGAACACACCCAGTCTCTTTTTATCTTTGTTTCATATAAAAAGGGAAACTTTAGTACTGTAATATGAAAGGACCATGATCTAAGATTGAAGTCCTTCAAATTGAATAAATTTAATTTTAGGAAAGAGTCCCCACATTGCATCTCTTAAAAAGAAGTCCCCTCTGGGCTTCCCTGGTGGCACAAGTGGTTGAGAGTCCGCCTGCCGATGCAGGGCACACGGGTTCGTGTCCCGGTCCGGGAAGATCCCACTATGCCGCGGAGCGGCTGCGCCCGTGAGCCACGGCCGCTGAGCCTGCGCGTCCGGAGCCTGTGCTCCGCAACGGGAGAGGCCACAACAGTGAGAGGCCCGCGTACCGCAAAAAAAGAAAAAAAGAAGTCCTCTCATTTTGCTGCAGGCCTCTGAAAACATTTCCATGGCCCTCCCTCTGAGAAAACACTGCTGTACACTGAGCATCATCACGAAACTCTCACTGCTTATGACCATAGCACAGCTTTGCTCCTGGCTCAGATTAACTTTCTGTGTGCTTGGTAACTGTATTTAAATTCTGGTTGAATGTCTCTTCGTACCGGCTGGAGCCTTGTTCACTGGTTTTGGTGGGTGCTGCTGGAATTATAACTTATTGATTCACAAATATATGCAAGTGTTCTAATTCAGAGTAATGCTTGCAAAGACCCAGCTTCTGACTCAACACCCAACTCCATATTGCAGGAGTGGAATCCTGGATGGCCCCCATGTTTCCAGAAGCTCCGCCTTCCAACCAGTGCCCAAAAGTTTCTAAAGGCTTACAGCTAGGCTGGCATATTGAGGTGTCACCAAAAACTCTCTACAAGGAATTAGGTACCTGGGCTGTAATTTAATGTTCTGATGCAAACTAGCTAGATGATCCTGAAAAAAAAAAACCATTTAAACTCTCTGGATCCGTTTTCTAGTATATAAGATGGAGATAACACCACTGGCCATGCTCTGGAAACTGTAATTTACTAGATACTCTCAGAGCCTCAGTGTTCTTAATCTAAATTGAGTGAACGTGTGTGACTAGATGATTAAGGTCTTTTTTTGCTTAAAAGTTTGCTACATTTGCTAGTGGAATTTACCACACACCAAACATTCATTGAAAGCATAATATGGGTCAAGCTCTGTGCTGTGTTTCAAGACACAGGAAAATCCTGCATTATTATTTTTCTTTAGGTTGTGTTTAGAAGGCCATGCTTCCCTCATTTGTAGTTCATTTCTTTATTCATTTGTTCATTCACTCATTTGTTTAGTTAACAAACATGGACAGACTCAGGCCATGTGCTGGAGAGAAAAAAGTAAGCTTGCTGCCCTCAAGGAGCTTGAAACTCCTTTTCAAGAGTCTGTTATTAAAAAAGAAAAAAACTTATTATATATATATATGTCCTTTTTGTGCCATGAGGCACAAAAGGCACATTATATAGAACACAAGCAAAAATTGTGACATGAACATGTGTCTATTGGTCCTGAATATAAGCTTATTGGAGAACAATTCTCTCTCTGCTCACTATCACTCTGCCTTCTAAACCTGGTTTTTGATAAAGTTAGGCAGAAGTTGTTCAATCGGATAAAATTAGATAAAACATCATTCTGACAATGGAGTTCAAATAACAAAATCTAATGTAATTTAGGGGCATCAAAAACCAAAGAACATTTAAAGTATGCCCAGCCCGTGGAATCAATTCAGTTGATCAATGCAGTTAGTTCACCAAAATGATTATTCAGCATCGCCTTCCTCTCAAAATAACCCACCAACTAACAACAACAATAAATAAAAAGAAGAGAAGAAAAGAAGAAAAATACCCTTAAGGGCATAAGTTTTTCCAATTTGCTTTCTGCAGTGATAAAATTAAGTAAACACTTACCAAATAGCTACATTACTTTGCACTGTATAGACCCTGGCTTTGATTGCCAGGTAAAATTTCTCATAGTTCATGAGGCTAAGAAATTACTCCTGCTTTGAACTAAATAGTGTGTATTCAAAGTCTTACTTAGTTAAATTCAGTTGTTTGCAAACTTAAAATCGAAAGGCTTTGTATGTTATCCTTTTCATTTAGGAATGATTTCAAAGGAAACTTACTCACTGGATAATTTTCTGTCCACAATTCCAAACCAAAATCATAGGAGTCTTCAGGCAACTCTGACACTACCAAACCCTTGACATTGTACTGCTTCATAATGGACACTAAATAAATATTCGTTTAATGAATGAATATAGAAAATCAGTTACTGAATTAAATTAATGATCATATCATCTTGCATTTGTGTACTGTTTTATGATCTGTAAAGTGCTTTCACATTTATCCTCTTAGTGACACTTAGAATAAAGAAGAAATTAATTCAGCATGTTGGATTCTATTTTAAAGCTCTGAAGTTACCAAATATGTCCTTAGACTGAAGTGAAAACTATAGTAGAAATGTGCTAAGAAGTGTGAATAATTAGAAGAACAAAATAAAATGGAAACAATAAAATGTACATAAAAAGCTTAATAAAGAAAATAAAAAATAAACTAGGAAGGAAAACAGTGGTTTAAAAGATTATGCTACTATTATTTTTATACAATCTGGGGCAGAGTTGATCCCTAAGCCAGAATTCCACATCCAAGTAATGTATGTTACATGTATGAATGTAACATGTATGAATATGTGTGTGTGCATACACATACACAGGCATGTATACTGTAGCTTCCCTATTCTTCCTAGAAATATAACAGAAAAACTATAGAATCACAAAATTTTACACCAGAACTTCACTGCAGGCAGCCAAGATTGCAGCCATTCACGCAGCCGGAGGGTCTTTTTTTTTTTTCCTAGTTGGAGCCATGACCTTGATCTAGCTGAATGTCAGTAACAATAGTGATGGCCAATGCTCTCAGATAATCAACTAAGGACCCCCAAATTGGCCCTATTATGCAACCCTCTTTCCTTGATAAGGCTGTGGATGACAGAAAGGCTTCTTTGAGGAATGAGAGGCCAAAAAAAAAAAAAAAAAAAAAAACCCCACAGATGGCAGCTCACTTCAAGTTCCTGGACACTCCAGCTTTCATTTTTGTCCCAAGAGCTCAGACATCAGTCCTAATCTTAAATTGCTGTGCATTCTAAGACATCTCCCAGAGAAGAGCATTTTACCTGTATGAGCTGAGAGATGCTACCTGCACCATGATGAATGTTAAGTTAGTAGTAAGTAAACCACTAAATTCTTTGGGGTTTGTTGTTGTTGTTATTGTGTTATTTACTTCTTTTCTTGGACCATTTTATTCAGTAAACATACTTCCAGTAAAATGGAGTTCTAATTAATTTACAGGAAGGTTTAAAAAAAGTGTGCATATAAAATGCCTGAAGTCCCTGAAAAGATGTGTTCCCAACAGTGTGCATGGGCCTTTTTAGTCCTGCCTCAGATTCCCTGAGTGTGAGTTTCCCAGCTCACAACCCTGGAGTGTCCCCAGGCCACAATCAGGTTCCTCAGGATCTTATCGTCTCCAAATTAAATACAAAAGAGATTAAAAGAAGAAATGAAAAAGAGAACTAGAAACCTGGCGGTAGTTGGAAAAAACATCTGGGCTTCCCAGAGACCTGAGTTTATCAAGATGCTCATGAAAACTTATAAAGAAAGCCATTGGAAAGCTCACACCCCAGGGGACTGTGATGGAACAGGAGAAGCATTTAGAATCAGAGGACCTGGGTTTCGGGTTCGTGTTCTGCCACCTCATAGCAGCTGAATATCTTTAGGTAAATCACTTTATCCCCCTGAGCCTCAGTTTCCTCATCTGTAAAATAGGGACATTGATTCCATGTCACAGTTTTTTTGAAGATATGATGAATAACTACATGAAAAGTCTTCATAAACTATAAAGTGATGTCAAAAGATTTTTATAATATTTTTGTTACAAAAATATTTTTATAATATTTTGTTATAATATTTTTGTTATAATATTTTGTTACAAATATTTTATAATATTTTTGTAACAAAATTTTTGTTACAAATATTTTATAATATTTTTGTTACATTTGTTTCCACAATGAACATAACATGTTCATTGTGGAAAATTTGACAATTATATGAGCTGTACTGACAAAATGACTGAGGGACTTGGGAGATTAAGTGCAGACCCTGGTAAGTCTTAAGCATCAGTCCTATATTATTGGGGTTTGCCTCCTTGCATGTTCAGAAACTCTGCCTGGGAGCTCAGGGTGGCTGCACGCTGCCCATAATGCCTAAACCCTTAGGGCCACTTAAAGAGTTTCCACCAAAAGATTCCTCAGAAGTAACCGACCAGCAAAACTTCAGGTGCTCATAGAATCTGTCACGTGTCCCAAGACCTGTGGGATGGGAATCAGGGGGCAGAGCTCTAGTCCGGATCCTCTGTTAACTCTTCACTTTCCTGGGCCTCAGTTTTCTCATTTGGAAAATGATCTACTGGAAGTGATATTCTTTGAAGTAGATTCCAGGTATGGTTTTTATGGGTCTTTGCTCAATCTGTTGTTTTGGTGGACTCTTCAAGCACCAATAGGGACCAATCGGGAAGGTGAGACCTGCTTGATGTCAGCTCAGGGCACTTCCCCCAATATTTCCGGGTGCCTTCAGGAATCTTGAACAGCACTGTCACTCCCTATCACCCATAAGATGGGGGAAAGGGACCCAGTCAACAAAAATTCTGAGGAGCAGTTTATTGCTCAGTTTAAAATGTCTCCATTTCCCTCTTGTTTTCTTTGGGTGAATGAATAAAACCTCAAATATGGCTAGAAAGTCAGAAATGTGTATCGGTTATAGAATATTACTCAGCCATAAAAAGAAACAAAATTGAGTTATTTGTAGTGAGGTGGATGGACCTAGAGTCTGTCATACAGAGTGAAGTAAGTCAGAAAGAAAAACAAATACCGTATGCTAACACATATATATGGAATCTAAAAAACAATGGTTCTGAAGAACGGGGCAGGACAGGAATAAAGACGCAGACGTAGAGAATAGACTTGAGGACATGGGGAGGGGGAAGGGTAAGCTGGGACAAAGTGAGAGAGTAGCATGGACATATATACACTACCAAATGTAAAACAGCTAGCTAGTGGGAAGCAGCCGCATAGCACAGGGAGATCAGCTCGGTGCTTTGTGACCACCTAGAGGGGTGGGATAGGAGGGGTGGGATAGGGAGGGTGGGAGGGAGACGCAAGAGGGAGGAGATATGGGGATGTATGTATATGTATAGCTGATTCACTTTGTTATACAGCAGAAACTCACACACCATTGTAAAGCAATTATACTCCAATAAAGATGTTTAAAAAAAAAAGAGTATCTGTTGTCAGAATGTTGTGTTAGATATTAAAATGTGGTCTCTCAGCAAAATGGTTTTGCTTTCACTTTAGTGTGACAACAGTTCACATTAAGCCCTGAAAGGCCTGAGGGCCAAAAAAAACAAGTGATAATTAAAAATGAATTCTTAAAAGCATTATAACTTTATGGGGCTTCCCTGGTGTCGCAGTGGTTGAGAGTCCGCCTGCCGATGCAGGGGACACGAGCTCGTGCCCCCGTCTGGAAGATCCCACATGACGCAGAGCGACTGGGCCCGTGAATCATGGCCGCTGAGCCTGCGCGTCCGGAGCCTGTGCTCCGCAACGGGATAGGCCACAGCAGTGAGAGGCCCATGTACGGCAAAAAAAAGAAAAGAAAAGCATTATAACTTTAAAAAGTAGGTTTTTAGAACATAATGAAATGTAAGTTGAAAAGGTAACTTGCCAAAGTGACACTGCTCTTGTAATATTACTGGAATAGTCTTTCTGAACCAGTAATACACTACTTTTTAAAAAAAATTAAAGGGAGGCTGATGTACTGACATTAAATTCCATGCAAATATTCTGGTTATTTAGTAGTAATTTATCGTAGTTTTACTGGAAATTTTCTCCTCTTAGTTCTTAAAAGGTTTTACAGTCCCAATTAGCACTTTTGCTCCTAATAATCGATATTGATTTTACTTTATTCGTTTTGGATTTTAAAAACTTTACCTAGAATTCAACTCTTAATTGTTTTTAAAGTAACATAGCTCATTAAAAAAATCAGACTTACTGGGAGATGTTCATTGCCATCTGGAAAATGACAAATTTCCATTTATTTGAGGTGGGTTCTTTATCGGAAAAGAAATGACAGTTCTGGCTAATAAGGATTTGGATTGTTGACCAAAAATTAAACAAGAAAGTGTGCAACATTTTCCAATATCTTCTCAAAATTAGGTAGCAGTGGTTATTTTGACTCATATTGCAGATTCTGGTTTCAGCCTGGCTATTTATCTCTGTATTTTAGTAACTTGTGTGTCTAGGAGCTGCTTCTCCTGTTCACCAACTACGTTATTTATTTATTTATTTTTTTGCAGTACGCGGGCCTCTCACTGTTGTGGCCTCTCCCGTTGCGGAGCACAGGCTCCAGACACGCAGGCTCAGCGGCCATGGCTCAGGGGCCCAGCCGCTCCGTGGCATGTGGGATCTTCCCGGACCGCGGCACGAACCCGCGTCCCCTGCATCGGCAGGCGGACCCTCAACCACTGCGCCACCAGGGAAGCCCACCAACTACGTTAATTTTAGGGGGCACAATGCCAATCAGAGACCACCGAGGCGGCCCTGATGTGTTAGGAGATGTCCTCAGGAGACAATGGACAGTTGGGGATGATTCCTGTTCCCTCCATGTGCTGTGTGACAGGGAACTGGAATTACTCACTTTTTACATCAATGGCCTTCCTCCTCATATTCCAAGCTTTCTCTGATAATGTGCCACACATTACATCTGGAACACAAACACTTCACCAAAACCCTTCAATTAAATCCTGCAAATTGTTTTGTTTAAACATTTTCTGTGATCTTTTATGTGGCGTTCAATTTCATTTTCTTTTGAAATTTAAAAGATGACTTTTAGGGCTGTGTTTAGCATTTGGTGACACTAGCAGAAAATTAAAAGTGTTTCTGAGGTCTACCTTTACCAGTCACACATTTCACAAACACTGGAGCTACCTGGGGTTGGCCAGGAAATGTCTGCTGCCATATTAGTGATGTGATAATGGGCTTCACATATCACCTGGACATTAAGAATGAAATCACTTACCGCTTCTGGAAGCAGCTTTGTTCTCAGCTGGTGTCCTGAAGGCACTGTACAAGCACAATGGACTTTGTATCGCAGAGGTGAAAGTCAGAAATTACCTAAAGTCATCTTTACTGCCAGTGCGTATTGAGGGGGGTGTGTGTGTGTGTGCGTGCCCGCGCACACGTATTGTTCATCTTTGTCTAACGGGTCCACTGATATTTGATGGAAATGACCAAAATTCAGCTAGTTGCATAAAGTATTTTTGGGTCTCCAATCTGCTCCGCTCTGTGACATGCCAAACTTCTAATGACTGGGACCTCTAACTCAGCTGCAATAGCCCATCAAAGGTGCAACTTTATTCTCTCATAACAGCCTTGTAATGTGATCAGCAGACTTATCTGCGAACTTTTCCCTGAGCTGTGCAGATGTGGTCGTAAAAGAGGCACGTATGCCATTGTGTATTTCCTACTTTCCTCCAAAAATGAATTTGGTTTCTGATTATGGCAGGGAGGCTGCCTGCCGTATAAAATTTCCTACAGGTGCATACCCTCTTAAAAGAAAGCCCAATCTATGAAAATCGGGAACTAAGAAGGAGAATGATTCAGGGCTATTATTAATTTTATAAGGCTCCCTTTACTTCGGAAAGGTATTTGCCAAAGAAATCAATATATAAAAGGTTTCTCTAGTACATTTACGATATTCTTTGATTAATCAAAAGTAGATGTATAGATATTTTTCAGATAGACACCTGTCATGTAAATTATAACATGGACATTATTAAATAATTAGCTTCATGATTTTTTTGGTTAGGAAAACTGTAAACCATGAACTGACTTGCTGAATATGTTTACTTTAAGATGGAGCATATATATTTTACCTTAAAAAAATCAGGCCTTGAATTATTGTTCCTCAAAATAAAATGCATGGTTTCTAAAACTTAGTTTTGAGTTTTTAACCTATTTCTCCTCTGAGGAATATGGGCTTGTGAACATACATTCTTCATACCACATTCAAAGTCTAATCTGTTTTTTTCTAGCAATCACATGGATACGTGTAAACAGATAAATAGTCACCATACACCATTGACTGCCATGGCTCATTTTTCATCTTTTGAAATAAAAGCCCAAGAGAATTTTTGTCAAAATAAATTGGAGATAAAAAAAAGTTCTCTTCTGAAGTGGATACTTTGAGCACAGCAGATGTGTAGGGAATTTTCTTTTGCCTTTGACTCCTTTTAAGATCTAATTCTACAAAATTAGAATTTCGGTTACTATAAACAGTGTATTCCAGACCCTGGATTAAAGAACTGCTTTTGAGCCAGAGCTGAAGTTGTTTTAGTTTTTGTAATTTCAGATATATTATCTGGTGTAACACTAAATTTAGACATTATAAATTAGTTGACTTTTCCCTTAATCAGCCACAGTTACATTCCTGTATAAAAGCTGAAAACATGAACACTCATATTTCCCTCTGAAGGAGTCTAATTACATTATGATCTGAAATAATATCTCCTTAATGATTCTTCGAACAACGCGGCCTATGTTTTCTTTCTCCATGCAGACCCTTCACAAATAACACAGTCTACATCAAGATAAACAGTACTTTTAGCATGTTTTGCAATATGGAAACAGGCGGGTTAGAAAAAAGCAAATGAACCAAACCTCTGTATTCGTAACAAGCTTCTAGACCACTTTAGTGCAGAATTCACAATAGATATGTACATTTTTCATTGGAGGATTTTAATAGTTTTTTTCATACGATGCCATCCATCAAATTTCCAATGAAGGCAAATAACTCACAGGGAAGAATCTGAAAAAGTCCAGAAATACTAGGCAATGTATGGTGACAACATGAGAATAAAATTCTCAGTGAATTATAATACTAACAACTAATAAAGAAACATGGTTGCCAAAATTGTGGTCATATTAAAAATGAGCCTTCTTATTTAAGGTGAAAAAAAATACCCTATCGATTCTGATCCACTTCCCATATTTAGAACAAAATAAAACAATGTTTGTTTAAAACAAAATAAAACAAGGCTTCCAGCAAATCCCTCAAGACATTTTAAATCCTACATAAGATACGCTGGAATTAAAGAGCATTACACGGACTTCTGCACGGCACAGCTACAGATTTATTACCCATCGAGTTATAAGGAACGGCTTCCCCTCTAGTTCAGGGTTTGTTTTTCTCCCCACAGTCAATGTTTAACCCACCTGAACAGTTTAGTGAGGCCAGATGTGTCAGTTTTACCTTTCCAAGGGAATTCTGTTTAGAGAACTACATTGCAACATGATGACAAGTGCTGCTCTCTAATACAAGTTTCTTTCTTTTCCAAAATCCAATCCTATGCTATATTTATTCATTTCTTGAAGGACTCCTTGACTTCACATACATACATACATACATACATACATAAATAGAAAATCTTTATACGTGCTCCATGCCGTGGACCCATGGGCATAAATAATCCGATGTGAATTCAAATACATATCCTTTTCCCATTTGTTTCCATTCTCGGTGCCAACTTTGCCTCAATAAACAACGACCTTCAGCTTAGTATGAAGGAAGCATCCAGTACATAATGCATGGGGCGGTGCCCCTTCAAAGAAGGAAACCCTTCAGAATAGCCGAGGATGAGAAGAAAACAGAAGCTCAGGAGAGCAGAAGACTTAAGGAAGTAGTTTCAATTTCACCTGAGATGACAGCAATACCTGTGGCTGAGTCAGGGAAATGTTCTCAAGCACAGTTTTGCTGATCACTTTGAAAAACATGGCCCAGGAATAAGCCTAGAAGATATTCATGAAATTGGAGGTGAAATGGTCATAGAATTGAGCATGACCTGAGATCTCCTGATTCCTCCCTTATTGTGCAGATTCCTCAGCTTCTCCAGCAGGAAAAGGGAGGCATTAAGCCTTTCCACGTTCCTAAAAGCATGTTTCGAGGATTAAAGAATCCAAAGGATCAAATTACTATTTATCTAGGACTCTTTCTAACCAGTGGAGCATCATGAGATACCCTGAAAGAGCTGATTTATTGAATCCCCAATTGAATTGGCCTTAGAGAGTTAATACATCCACGGTGACAAATTTACTCACTACCAATGAATTGCATTAGTTCCATTATTTGTAAAGCACTTTTCCATCTGGGAAGAAAGGTGCAGCATAAATCCCATTCTTTTCAGTAGCATGGCTGGAAGGCATCAACCTTTTATGAGCCAGGAAAGTCAGGACTTTTCTTCTATTAATTTGCTAAGTATTCTCTGCCCCATGAGTTTTAACACGTTGAAAATATGGCAGATGGCAGAGGACAAGGACAAGGAAAAGAGGAAGGCCTTTTGTCCCATCGGGCTGTATCACCTTCTTAATTCTGTGGAAGCTTGTTTCACAGGATTTGGGGCTGACTTTGGCTCAAAATGGGCCCTGAGTTAACGACTGGGAGACTCACTCTAGTTGAGGCTTACTTCCAGGTAAGTCTTGAAATTTGAGCATCTTAAAATTTTAGTCAATTTAGCATGGTCTCAGGAGTTCCAAAATCTGACGTGCCCTATCCCTAAGCATTTCCAGAGGGGCGGTATTATATAATTTCAGGAACATATACTTGGGAGCCCAGTGATCTGAGATCAAGCCCTAGTGCCACCACTGTTCACTGTTTGACTTTGGTCAAATTAATTTTACCTCTGTGAGTTTCAGTGACATCCTCCAAAAATGGGAATAAGAATAGAAGCAAGTTAGAGTGTTATGGTAAGACTAAGTATGATAATGCAGGTAAGCCTCCTAGCATGGTGCTTGGTACGTTGAAAACCATCACTAAATGTTTGCTCTTGTTCTCATTAGATGGGACTTTTCAGATGTGTGACCCAAAGTTTCTGCTCGGCTGAAGATGGTGCCCTTAGTGGTCCGGAACAGTAGACACTGGTAGAGATTTTTTCTGGCTCCTGTCAACACATCCTGTCCATTAATTTTGAAGTTCCTGTTCTGGATACTAACCTGGATTTCTTCATCCATTCATTCAGAAGGTGCTGAGTTAGGGCCTCCGTGGGCAGCTTGTACCAGTCCTTTGAAGAGAGAGCTCTTATCTTTTGGTGAAGTGAAAATACATGGAATTAATTTATAAACAATGTAAAGCATATCTGCACATACAGATGAGCTGGTTTTAAATTTTATGCAATTTGATTCTTTGATAATAGCTAACACTCACTGAAGGCTCACCAAGGGCCAAGCACTGGGCTAAGGACTTTCTGTAAATTATCCTCACAAGGATCCTAAAAGGCAGACTCCATTATTATTCTAAACTTTGAACCGAGGGATTCGAATTCAGAGTCTATACCCTTAACTACTACCTTAAACTACCATCCTGAGATAGGATTGATTGCAAACCCATTTTTAAAAAGTTCTAGATGTTCGTCCAGTACAGTCTGTCCTCTTTGAAGACTGAATCCTGATTCCTTGCCATCAGGCAAACACAGTTGCATTGCATTTATTAGCAGCCATAATCCTTCACACTTCTATCTGCCATTTCCAGTTGACAGAGTGGTGTTACATGCTTTGTTATTCAGACCTCCTGTTTTACCAGAAAGATTGCATTTATGTAATCCTCACCGGGAGGTTATTCTTACCCCCTGTTTGCTGCTCAGGAAGCTGAACCTTGGAGAGAGTGCAGGACTAGACCACGGCCGCCACACTGATGAATGATCCATGTATAGTTGAAACCGGATTTTTTTGTTTGTTTGTTTGTTTGTTTTTTTGCGTTATGCGGGCCTCTCACTGTTGTGGCCTCTCCCATTGCGGAGCACAGGCTCCGGACGCGCAGGCTCAGCGGCCATGGCTCACGGGTCCAGCCGCTCCGCGGCATGTGGGATCTTCCAGGACCGGGGCACGAACCTGTGTCCCCTGCATCGGCAGGCGGACTCTCAACCACTGCGCCACCAGGGAAGCCCTGAAACCGGATTTTTTGATCCAAATAAATAATGAAGTTATTGTTAGTCTTGTAAAATTGGAATAATGCATTCTACACATCCAAAGGAAAAGTGGCTTTAACCCCGGTGGGTGAACCATTGCAACCTTCCTCCATAGCTATCTCATTTCTGGCTCAGTCACATCACTGAGCCCCTCCCAAGTGCTCGGCATAATCCTACACAGAGCCTGACCACAAGGAACCTATTTGAGAGGGCACATTAGAATGTTCAATCAAAGATATAATAATAATAATAGCCATAAAGGAGGGATCGGAGCCAGGGGATTGAGGTGTCTTTGCCAGGGTCTTGCAGCCCTGACAAAGGAGGGGGCTACCTTATCAGGGGAGGGAGTTAGTGCCAAAGAAGCACTAAGCTGGTTTACTCAGCAGAGAGCTGGTTAGATAACTGGGAGGCTAAAAAGCTCAATCTGGCACAAAAATGAAAAATGTCTTTGTCAATTAATATTATCTTTCCTACCAGTTGTTTTGTTCTCACAGATAACGGTATGAAATATTCTATGAACTCAGATGAAAGGTTCATACACTAAATGAAAAATCTGAAGTTCACATTTTCAGTTATTTCATATTTTGCATTTCATTCATTTAAAAATGATTTCATGCAGTTCAACTACTGCATTGAAACATCTCTGTGTAACACACTTAGGCAGTTTCCCTTTAAGAAAAGATGCTGGTCCTCTTTTTCAGATGGTCATTCAGTGATACAAACCTGTAGGACTGAGATAAATTGCTCCTGGAAACATTTTCCTCTTGGAAAATCACAGATGAGACTAAATGAGACATTTTATATATATAGTAGCAAACAGTCATAGGTACATTTCATTTTGAAAGTCCCATCTGTCTTGCAACCCAAACAGGTTTTGACACTGCAGAGTGATTGCAGCACTTCAGGACTAGGAAAAGCCAGTGATGCAGAAAGGGGTGCTGAAGAACGTACTACAATTTTACCGTTTGGGTGTTTTAAAAGATCAAAAATATAATTAAAACTGTAATTATGTCTCTTGACACATGTGATCACTCTATTTTGCAAGGTATAACTTGAATACTCCAGCCCAGCATTTAAATATAAATGCAGCTTTTATAACAAAAGAGAACCAGCAAGGCTTCTTGCTATGATTAGAGTTTTAATTGATACCATTATAGCTAGAAGTTTGAACATGATGGGAATAATGACTCTGGTGTTTTTCGGCACCTTATTATTCATTTTACATCTTTATGTCAGCTATGTGCTCAAGTCCACAGAGTCTGTAATATTTAAATTAATAATGTATATTTAACTATTGCCATTAAAGCAAAGCTAATTAGGTCCCTGCTTGCTGACTGACAGGATGATGCAATGAGTAAAACGGTTTGAGCCGATAGCTGACACTGCCAGGAAAATGTGAACTGAGTTCACTTGAGATTAAACAACCTCTAAGACACCAACGGAGGGGAAAATAAAAAGTGTCTGGTCTCATTTTCTAAAAACAGAAAAAAATCCATGAAGAGACACAACTAGCTCATCTAGCAGCTCAGAGCAAGCTTTCTGAGAGGTGATGCAATGATCTTGTGCTTTTCATTCTGTGGTTCTTCTTCCATGCACGGGTTGGAGATGCAGTTTTCCTCAGGCCTCAGAATGTTGGCCTTCTTCCATAGTTTTCACATTCTAAGCAAGAGAGGCCAAGAAGCTGAACTTTACCTGTTTCATAAACACCTCTTCTAAAACAGATAGCAGAAATGGAGAGGAGAGGCAAACGAATGCTTATTTCCAATTCAGCTAAAGAGAGTCCGTCCTGGAGTTGTCAGAAGTGGAAAAATGATACAGAAAGGCATAAGCACATACTCTATTTGATAGAGTGAGCCTTTATGATTGTCTGGAACAAAGCAAGGGCTTCCTCACCCTGGGTTTTCGTCTTGACAAGAGGATCAGCTCACTCAGGGCTGCAGACTGGCTCAGTGGGAATGCCTCCAGAAGCGTAGGGCAACCCACTGCTCCCTCCTCTCTCTGGGCTCCAACTTGACTGGGGACTATCTGAACACCTGATGGGAAGCCAGATTGATCCGGTCGTCCTGCCTGAAGGTACAATGGAGCAGGAACTGGGTGTGAGGGAGGAAAAGGGGACTTGGCTCAACATGCTTTTTAAAAATAAGCTTTGAATGTAATAAAAGATGCACATTATGTTCATCAAGGGAGAGTTCCGTATGTTATGTGAAAAGACTCTTTTTAAGAACAATGCTCTTACTCTAAGGAAACCGATATCTGCCCCATGTAATTTCATCAAATGACAGTTCATACATCTGTGCTGATGGATCCATTTGTTAGGAGTACTTTCTCATAGCAAATGTACTCATGTTCTTCTATATTCTTAGCCTTCTCCTTCCCTTTTTCTCCATATCTAAAGTGTGATAGCATGATTTCCTAAGGAAGTCTGGTGGTCCATCACTGCAGAAGGCTCTCCTCACAGTGAAGACCGATACTGAAGAATTCCATTTACCGAAAGCATTGCTCACCCTTATCTCCAGCTTGGCGAGGAACTAGCACTATAAGTGACAGATGGAAAAGGAGTTTTAATTACTAAAAGGCTATGCTGGCTAAAGGTGTTGGCCAAATGATTCTTCTGGAACTTGTCTACATAACATCAATAGTTGCTGTTTTAGACCAAAAATTGATTTTTATATTTAAAAAATTGGATTAACATCCCTAGAGGCAACGCTGTATAGTGGTTTGTAAAACTAACTGCCGCTATGTCCTGAGGCACGATGTCATCTAATCCTTAGGACGATTTCATGACTGGCTTTGAAGTCAGGCAGATCAATTGCACTGCTTTAGAACTTAGTTTCCTTGTCTGTAAGATGGGGTAATGACACCTCATGAGATTTGGGGGAGGATAAAATGAAATCATGCATGTAAATTGACTAAAGCACAGCCTGCAGCCTTCAGTAAACTGTGGTTATCCTAAAGACTTATCAGAAAGCGTGATGTTATCATCCCTGTGCTGCTGGGGTTTGGCAGCTACACTCAAAGAGCCATCCAGCCATTATGCTCATCTTTGAAGAGCAGAATTGGCTGGCCATTTTGAAAATAACCGCTTTCAAAAGGAAGCTGTATTAGAAAGAGTCCATTGGGCTTCCCTGGTGGCGCAGTGGTTGAGAGTCTGCCTGCCGATGCAGGGGACACGGGTTCGTGCCCTGGTCCGGGAGGATCCCATCATGCCGCGGAGCAGCTAGGCCCGTGAGCCATGGCCGCTGAGCCTGCAGGTCTATAGCCTGTGCTCCGCAACGGGAGAGGCCACAACAGTGAGAGGCCCGCGTACCGCAAAAAAAAAAAAAAAAAAAAAAAGAGTCCATTAAGCTTCTTCTTTCAAACCTTCCTCCTGGTGAAATCCACTGCTGAATCCCTCTGAAAATTCCCAGTGGATCCTCAGAATTGAGTTACTAATAGTCCACTGATTGGATATACTAGTATGAATTTAACCAGAACTCTGTGGGTAGATATTTAGGTTGTTGTCAATTTTAAAATACTTTAAAAAGTCCTGTGGTTAATATAGTTACATTTATACTCCACCACCCCACCTGCCCACATTGCAGATAATTTCCTCAGAAGGGATTCTCAGAAATAAGACAGATGACTGGGTTTTAAAAAGTGAGCATTTTTATGGATCTTGATATATGTTGTCAGATTGCTTTCCCATTGACAGTACACTGTGTGAATAGAGTTTTACCAAACTCTAGCATAAACTTGTTGTGGTGGAAGTCTTGACTTAGGCTGCTTCTTTAGATGACATGAGCTTACACTAAAATGCTGTATAAAAATTAGTATCCCATTCCTAGGTTCAAGTCACTGAATGGCAGGCTGTCTGAATACCTATTGCTACCACACAGCTCTCTCTCTCTCTGTCTCTCTCTGTCTCTCTCTGTCTCTCTCTCTCACACACACACACACACATACTCTCTCTCTCTCTCTCTCACATGGTTATTAAGCTACATGGCTGAACTAGAGTCTTGCCTGCACCACTGCTGAGGAACTGGTAGAAGCCTAGATGGGGATGATAATGTTCCGTCCTCCTTCCAATCTAAATAGCTGGGTTTGGGAGCCCACAGAAAGCCTCTTCAGAACCACCTGATTGGTTGGGGTCTGGGGAAAGGTGTCCATTTTTGTTGCCCTTGTTGTTTCCAAAACCCGGCTAAAAGACCTGACTAGATATACACGCAGCCTGTTATTCCTGAGGTTACTGCGATCCTCTCCAAGGCCTTGCAAATCATCGGTGAAAAACACAGCCTACTTTCAAAGAATTCAAATGGCTCACCTTCAAAGAGCAGCTTCATTTAGAGCCACCTGGCGCCACTGCCTCTGCCTCCTGTCTGGAGAGAGAAGGGGAGCCGCTGCTCACCACCAGCTCCTGCCCTCCTAACCCGTTGTTGCTTGTTACATCAAGGTAGGAAAGTTTTCTGTGTATAATTTGTGAAGTTCCCTTAAGCAGACAGTGCTACATAAATGTAAAATGCTGCTATTAATAATAAAGTTTGGCACACCTAAGAATGCTGTAGAATTAAAGTAATGAGATTCTATTTTTAGGCAGACTGGGCAATAACATGCAAGTATGATAAGGCTGTGCTTTAAAGCTCACTTTAACCTTCCATTGCTCTAAAGAGTACGTTTTCTGGGCCGCCTACACAGCAGTCGGCTGCCCCGAGCTCTAACGGTGGAGGTGAGCTTGGAGCCCAGCGGGCCCGGCTAAAAATAGGCTTTGGTCCTTCTCAGAGGGAGCGTACCTCACACACAGCTTGCTTTCACAACATCTAGATGGACCTCTTTGGTCACCTCGCAAACCTTCATCACTACCTTGGAAACGATTAGAAAAGTTTCTAGAATGTGTTTTGAAATTCTTATACACCTATAATTATGTGAAGGTATAGGACGTGTTTGGGAGACTCCATTATGTTTATTTTCAGATGTAAAGATATTTAACAGAGGCCCAGGTTCGAAGGGATTCACAGCTAGAAAAGAAGTCTCACTCCTCAGGGGAAAAAAAATGATTAGCTCTTCCTCCACTAATGTTCAGGTCAATGCTTTGTCAATAACAGTAACTCTTCTTCACCAACTTAGTGCAGCCTATAAAGATCCTTATGACCCATAATTACACATGCAGATTTATGTCAAAATGCATATATAAATCTCTGGTTCTGGCTATGGTTCACCTCTTATCAGAAAAAAGATTTGTGTAAGGAGACACTCTCCTTGATCCCTATGCATATTTTTTCTTTCCGATTTGGGGGCAGAATTATAAGGGTTTGCTACCTATGACCCAAGGCACATTCCAGGTTCACAGCTGGAGGGAGTGAGGAGTTGGCTGGCTTTGACGGTGGGTAGTGGGGGGAGGGGGAGGTAGCCATGGAAATATATTTTCTGGGAATATTGCTTTCTAGCTAAATCGAGACCGCCTTTTCGACACCTGCAGGCCAGCCACCATAAATCAGAGCAAAGATGATTATCTGAACAGAGGGAGAGGGGTTTTAAAATGACTGGACTTCCTGAGGCTGAAGTCTAGCACTTGATTCAGGGACACAGGGAAGTCTTACACCTGATGGCTTATCAAATTCCATGGAAGCCTGAGTGGGCAAAGGAGATGTCAGGCTGGCCTTGCTCAGGATTCTCACATGCTAGGATTTGTTTTGTGATGCATTTCTTGCTAGCAAATCTGAGGGGTTTTTTGTTGTTATTTTGTTTGGTTTTTTTCTTGCGGTACGCGGGCCTCTCACTGCTGTGGCCTCTCCCGTTGCGGAGCTCAGGCTCCGGATGCGCAGGCTCAGCGGCCATGGCTCACGTGCCCAGCCGCTCCGCGGCATGTGGGATCTTCCCGGACCGGGGCACGAACCCGTGTCCCCTGCATCGGCAGGCGAACTCTCAACCACTGCGCCACCGGGGAAGCCCCAAATCTGAGTTTTGAACCATCATCTGATCATCTCCAGGGAACAATCTCCCTGATGGTAGGACTTCCTCAGCACCCATGAAGGATGGGAGAGGTGCATCCACCCTCTCTGTGTGAACAGGTAACTGCTGAAAAATTGCTCGAGCGTCTATATAGTTGCTGTCCGAATGCTGGATCTGGGAGGTTATTAAAGAGTGTGCCCGGAAATCCCATTGTTTTCTTACGTGCAGATCTCAACTCTGTACACCTAGACAATAGGTGTTTAACTCTCAGACAGTGTTCATAAAAATACATAGAAACTTAAACACCTACCTACCTTAGAACAAATCAATTCCACTTCTGGGAGTACACCCAGAAGAAACAAGTGCACATGTCCACAAGAAGACTTGCACAAGGAAATGCATTACAGCTTTCTTCATGACAGCCCAGACAACCCAAATGTCCATCAACAGGTGAATGGATAAATAAACTGTCTTATATCCCTGCATTCAGCAATAAAAAGGAATGAGTTACTGACACCGACACAACAAAGATGAATCTAAAAATGTCACGCTAAGTGAAAGAAGCCAGACACAAGAGTCCATAATGTATGATTCCATTGATATGAATTTCAAGGACAGGCAAAACTAGTCTATAGAAATCGAATTAGAATTCCAGCTACTTCAGTGGGAAGAGGGTTATTGACTAGAAGGGAGCACAGGGAACACTCTAAGTGACGAAAATGTTTTATATCCTAATCTGGGCAGTGGTTAACATGGCATATAATATGCAAAAAAAAATCATCGGGCTGTATGTTTACTTTGTAAATTATAGTTTAATAAATGAAAAGTTTAAAAAGCTCTCTGGAAAACATACATGGAGAAAAGCTCACTTTGTAAGAATGATCATGAACAGACAAAGATTAAATCACGAAGATAATCTAAAGAGTAAATGAAAAAAACATGAGCCTTTCACTTCTCGCTTTTATCACAGGACATGAAAACGCTGGGGCTTAGGAAACTAAAATCATTGTATGATATGCTTAGGAATTCACTGAGCGTTCTTTAATGGTTTATTTTCAGAATGTTCCTGTTAAATTAGGAAGTGCTTCATTTGCAAGTTTCTCCTTAGGAAATGGTGTTGTTTCAAAATAAACAGTCGGGAAATACATATTTTAAGTTGATTCATCACTTGTCTTAGCAAGAGATCAATTAGCTAATGATACCGTTGGCCTCAAGCATTCTTCAGTAAAATATATTTCATTCTCCTGAATATTTAGATTAATTAAGGTATGAGGCTGTGGTGTTTTTATGACAAAAAATTGATATTAAATACACATTTCCCATTTTTCATGCAATACACCTCAGTTCTTTTGCATCTGTCTTATGATAAAGACTTCCAATTGTTAAAGGAAGTCTTTGGGGTACTTGCTTTCCTGTGTCACTAATGAAACAAAGAAGGCTTATTTTTTTAAGAACGATCATGACAGAACTTCCACATGGCGTCTGCTACTCATTATTCAATTGACATTTCCATTTCTGGAATTCTAAAGTTTGTCTGAAATTGTTAGTGACATTTATAAAATGCTTGCAGAATTTTAAAATGGACCCTAGAGATCACCAAGTCCTTCCCCCTCATTTAAGATGAGGAAACTGAAATCAGGAAAGGTTAAGTGACTTGCCCAGGGTTCGACTTCTTTGGCTGACTTTTGTGTAGAGTTGGAATGCCTTCCTTCAACTCCACGATAACAGCAGATTCTATGATCGAAGAGATATCACAGCTATAACATTGGTAAACATGTGCACATTTTATAAAATGAGGAATTCAGTTAAAGGTTGTCTTCAGGACCTAGAGTATTTCACAGTCCTGGAAATACTGTTTCCAACCTCTAGACAGTTTGCCCACAGTGAAGCTCGTATAATCAACATTAGGCTAAGCCTTTCTATCTCCCTTACCTGTATTATCGCATTTAGAACCCTGTGAATCAATATAATGTAAAAAATATGGTTTAGGGGCTGCATTGCAAGGGTTCACTTCTGATTTCACTACTTATGAGCTGTGTGGCAGTGTAACTTGCACTCAAATCTCAGATTCCTAATCTGGCAAATGGGGATAATAATAGTATCTTATGTCATTTTTTTAAGGTTTAAATAAAATGATATAAGTCAAGTCAGCCTGGTCCTTAATAAATATTCAATAAAGGTTAGCTAATAGATCATTTTGGGATTTCCAAAAAGAAAATTATACCCCAATTTATTTTGTTTGATTTTCCCACTTCCACCTTTTTGCATGTACAGTTCTGTGCCCTGAATACTCTCCTCTCTCCTCCTTTTTCAGGCTCCTCTTAGCTCTAGCTCCCTCTATCATTACCCACCTGGCCCTCCACACACCCCTGATCCGCCTGATTTCCCATGCACAGCTCACAGTACACATTTTAGCACTTGACTCTGGGTCTTACAATGCTCTTTAATTATTTCATCTGATGTAAGTTATATAATGTATTTCTTTTGCGTCTTTGACAGGGCCTAGCATAGTGAAGGGCATGTAGCAAACGCTTGAAAATCATTGTATCAAAGAATTAAAATAGAAAACCTTCAAAATATTAAGCCTTGATTCCAGTGATGGCTGGTGAACTATTTTAATGGAGATCATCTATAAAATCTATTTTATAATATTTTTTAAATAGTTTATATAATAAGAGCATTGTAGCCAGAAACAAAAACAACACAGTCAAACCAAAATAACACATCAAACAAACAAACAAAAATAAACCATGCCTGGAGTGGAATTATGACGTTTGCTATAATACAGATTCTGAAAATCTGGTGTTTCCTTTTTAGTTCTGTAATAGTGCATGCAATCTAGTATGAAGACCAAAGTCCTATTTTTGATTTATGTATCAAATAATGACACAAGGCCACAAAGAACAAACGAAACCATATCACCAGCTTATGTTCACAGTCATACTCTTTTTAAATACCAGGAAGTAACAGAGCCATCAAGAATACACCACAGTAACACTAGTAATACAAAGAACAAGTAGTAAGATGTATTCAACATGTATCAAGTTTAAATATGTTTACAGCAATAGTGTAAAGGAAAATAAAAGATTGAAAAAGTAAAAAAAAAGAATATACCACAGCAATGATAAGACTTATGGTTAACATTTTACATATTTTTATAAATTAATTAATTTATTTTTTGGCTGTGTTGGGTCTTTGTTGCTGCATGCAGGCTTCTCATTGGGGTGGCTTCTCTTGTTGTGGAGCATGGGCTCTAGGCACGCGGGCTTCAGTAGTTGTGGCACATGGGCTCAACAGTTGTGGCTTGCAGGCTCTAGAGCACAGGCTCAGTAGTTGTGGTGCATGGGCTTAGTTGCTCCGCGGCATGTGGGATCTTCCCGGGCCAGGGCTCGAATCCCTGTCCCCCGCATTGGCAGGCGGATTCTCAACCACTGCGCCACAAGGAAGTCTGACATTTTACATATTTACATATATATTTTTATGTATCTCAGGAATAGAGACTGCCTTGTCAAAAGCTTTCAGAAAAGCACCCCCAGGGCTTCCCTGGTGGTGCAGTGGTTGAGAGTCCGCCTGCCGATGCAGGGGACGCGGGTTCGTGCCCCGGTCCGGGAAGATCCCACATGCTGCGGAGCGGCTGGGCCCGTGAGCCATGGCCGCTGAGCCTGCGCGTCCGGAGCCTGTGCTCCGCAACGCGAGAGGCCACAACAGTGAGAGGCCCGCTTACCGCAAAAAAAAAAAGTACCCCCAAATACTTGGGCTTTATAGTGATACTGTACTAGAATACTTTCATTCCCTTTTTAATGCTATGATTAGAAACATTTCACAAAAGTTCTTTGTCAAGTACAGTCAAGAATGTAGAATTGTTTAGACACTTGCCATTTACACCAAAACTTTAACCTTTTCAAGGCCTTGGTCCAATTTTGTGATTTACATAAACAGTAAATTTTTTTTTCCTGTTGACAAATTCATTGCTAACTTAAGCATCAGAATTTTACTTTTTATGTAATTCCTAGGTAGTGGCCAAGATACCCTAAGCGCCAGAAGAAGCAAAGCCAGGGAAGACGTAATTCCTCCACTTTCTGTTGCTAAGTGATTGTGCTTGACAGGAACGAGGCTTGTTGGGACACCACTTGGCAAAGAGTTTTGCTTACCTAGTTACTCAGGGTGCCCGTGTACACCTGCGGTTGTTAGAATAATGCACTCACACTTACACAACCACACACAACTGTAAGTAATATACAGGGTGTTTATGGTATTACCGTCTAATTTTTCTTCATTCATCCATCCATCCAACAAGTGTTGAATATTTACTCTGTACCCAGCAGAAAAGAAAACACAAACATGCCTGTCCTCATGGAGCCTAATTCTAAGACCTTCTTTGAACCTCTAAGACCTTGGTCCTTTGCCTCAATTCCACCATTAGGTTTTGACAACAGTAGTAAATAATTCTATGCATTCATGTGGTCAGTAAGGATTTTCATTTCAGAATTATCTGTTTTATGCTATATGAATATACATGTCTTGTTCTTAAAATATAACCCAAATATATATTAATTAATTTAAAAAGTCTGATATCATTTCTTTCTTTAGAGCCTTTGCAGTGGACGTGTTTTCTTAATAAAGTGTGTCATGGGAGCATTTTTTTTAATGAAGAAACTTGGAATTATTTCAATGGAGCTTATGTGCCTGAGTGTCTGTAATACTTGGACAATTAGTTAATTGATGGGCCCATTAATGTTTTGCAGAGATTAGTTTTGTTTGTGGTAAATTGCCTTTTACTTTTTTCATCTTCAAAAATAGAATCAATTTATTGTGTTATTTGGCCTATTCTCTTTGATATTATAATGTATGCTAATAATAGTATTTGGAGTTTAGTGGTCTTGGCTTGGATTTACATGTTCAAATACGAGTGATGGGTATAATGTCAAGATCACAGCTACTTTGATTCTCAGCAAAGACGGTTAACAAAGTATGTGATTCAGTTTGCACACCAAAATTGGTAGCAACCTATACTGTGCTCAAGTGGAGTAGAATTCAGGACCTCCTAAGATGTTAATTGTTCCTTTAGGTGATGGTGATTTGATGAAGTATTAGGAAAGGTGGGCATAGTGATTAAGATTAAGTAGGATTTCTCTGCCCCATAGAAAGTATTTTCAGAATTGTTAATGATTTGTACATCCCTATGACCCCAGTGAGATTACCAGGAAATGGAGAAATCAATGCTAATTGACTAGGTTCAAAAAAACAGGGAAACACACAAGCCCTTTTCTGTTTTAAAGGGCAGTTTTTTTAAGCACTATGTATGACTGCCCCACATTATCCCACACTACAGAGGCAGTCAGTTGTTTGTATCATATATATGCATTCCAGGATAGAGAGCTATGTAGGAATGTAATTTGAAGCAAAGAGCAGTTGAGAAGTTATGAATTGCAATTATGAATGGAAGCTATGGACTGCAGCCAAAAATCAGTTGGGTCCATATCTATGAATCTGAAATCGAGTTTTGGAATATGCCTCTGTTTTCTAAACATTTCCAAAGAATTTTTTTCAGTTCTTGGAAGTCATAAGAAGATGAGTCCTTTTATTGCTTATGGGACTGAACTAAATGAAAATTATAAAATAAAATAACTGAAAAAAAACCCAGTAGCATTTATATTTTGCTTGTCATTTGTCAAACATATGCAAAGTACAGAAAGTGTTTTATTTCACTTTTATCTTAACCCTATGAGATTAGCATACTTTAGTATCCCTTGAACAGCTGAGGAAACTGAGGCATGGAGAGATCAAAAGCCTTTCTAAGCTCACATAGCTAGTATTTGGGTGGGCGTCCCATAGCCCATGCCTTCTTGAAACATCTTTTTACAATGCCTGTCAAGTGTTAGCAAGAGAAAACAAAATCCTGTATTCTTCTTTTTTATCCCATGCTGTTTATTCAAAGGTCAAATTCACATCTTTTCCAGATGGACATTTTGTGGTTCTTTGTGGAGGATGGTTCATGATACTTTTCAAAGACCTCTTTGACTTAGGGGCTTATTTCCAACATCAAAAGTTGCCGGATCTGAGCAGCTTAAAATTATCTGGTGCTTACTTGCAACCTTTTTAGCAAATGCCCTTCTCGCTTAGAGTGGTTTTGGTATTACATATTTAATGAAAGTGTCTGCTACCTGCCCTTGGAAAATATCTTGGTTTTATGTCTCCCAGACTGCTTGTTGCTGAAGGCAAAATGAGGAATGGAGAGTGGTGGAATTTCACTGTGCTATAGAAATTAGGTGCGACTACTACATTAAAAGCAACAGCAGGTGCTATAAATCTGAACTTTGTTTCTCGGGAAGAAAATAATAAAAGTAAAACATGTGAATGGATAGGCTACTAAATTGCCAAGTTGAAGACAGTTTTTCTAAGGAAACAATTAAGCCTTTCTACAAAGAAATCATGTTTTATCTTGGATTGCACTTAAAATGCAGATTTCTAAATAATTACTCATTCATTCAATTTCTACAAAGCCATTTCATCTCCTTCAGGATGCTTCTCTTTTTCCAATATTTAAAAAATATTTTATTTTTATTTAAAGCAATTCATATTTATTGTAGAACATCTAGAAATATATGAATAACCCAGAATATCACAATACAGAGATATATGCTGTTAACATTTTAGTATAGATTCTTCCAGTATTTATTTTACACACACACGCACACACACACACACACACACACACACACACACACATACTT